AGCCACATAGAGACATTCATGATGAAGTACTTAATGTATCATTATTATCTCATAATGGCCACCATTAGTTGTGTATGCAGCTTAGAAATATAACCATGAATTCATAGACTATTTGATTTTTGTTATTTCTTTTTAAAATGCTACCCTCAGGCTTTTCAGATGACCTTTAAGCTGTCTACTTCTCAAACTCCTGTTCAAATAGTGAAGGAAAACTGGAAGGCAGTCAGAAGTGTTTGCGTGGGCGGGTTTGGTACCATCACTGACGATGGATATGGAGTTTCATATTTGACTTATGGAGAAAGTGAAGGTACATAATGTCCATCTATCTTAAATCTCCTCCTGCTCCTCCCTCTAGTCTTCTTCTCTGTTCATTGCAAGAATTCTTGTCCGACTACTAATTCGTTTCAATTTGGGGAAGGGATCAAGAAATCTTTTGATGACATGAAGGAATTGTATTCTGATATTTTTAAAGATAAATAAAAGAAAGAAATATTTTTGCTGTTAAGAAAACTGTCATTTGTTGTGTTTTTTGTTTGCATTATTTTTTGAGGCATTTTTATTTGAAAAAAATGTTTGACCTTTCTGTCGCCCGAAAGGTCAGAATTGCCGCCTACGCAAAGGACATAAACAAAACGATTCTTCGCGCAGTAAACTCCAGCCCTCTCCTAGTCTTCTTCTCTCTTTCTCTCTCTAACAAAATGAAGGTTGCCCTTTTCGGTGGAATGGGAGCACTCCTCAACTGTGTCCTGGCCTTACACTCGTCCTCCCTTTCTCTCGCTCACATTATAGACGAGCTATTAGTCCAGCCATTCACAGCAATGAAGACCCTTTTGCTCCTTCCCGCTGCCCTCGGATTTCTCATAGGAACAGTCACGCTCTTATTCTGGTCTTTCTTAAGAGCTATTGTCCTGAGGTCACTGCTCCAGTATAATGGGTGGTTCCTGAAACCAAAAAGCCCATTGAACAAGGTAGGCCTAATAGTCAGTTTGACCTTTGTGCTGTAGCTAATTGTAAACACACTACATGTAGTTTATGTATATACATCAACCTTTGTTTGCTGTTTTTAGATATGGTACTTGTTGATGCTCTTCTTGCTCGGCCGCAAGAACTTAGGAGCAGGGAATTATCAGAAATTCTTGCCATCACTTCCTGTGCCACCTCTTACAAAAACATGTAAAAGGTCAGTTTTGATTTGAGATAGTTTACATGCCATTGTACATGTATAGTGTAGCCTCCTTTAAATGACACCTCCATTTGTGTACAGGTATTTGCAATCTGTCCAGCCACTACTGACCGATGAGCAGTTTAGGAAGACAGAGAAAGTAGATATGTATTTATGTGCATATAAATAATTATTATTAATAATTTCCAGGTTGTAAATGATTTTAAAGCTAAAGAAGGCCGAAAGCTACAAATGTACCTTACTTTAAGGTGTGTTGTTAAAAAGTGAATCAAAAACTTTGTTGTGCAAAATTAACAAACAAGATAATGACATTCACGGATCACTTTGCCCTTTAATTACCGCTATGAATATTAATGTTGACTATGTTTACATGGAAAAGGTCAAACTACTTCATGTGTGGCTAATTATGCGCATTCCTCTGAAAGGTCAAGTTATGACTTGTGGCCGTAATTATGAAAGCTGTGTGTTAACTAGAGATTCCACTGTATCATTTAAATTGCAACTATTTGACCTTTTCTCTCTCTCTGTCTCCCCCCTCCCTCTCTCTCTTGCTAAAGGTCATGGACCCACAGGAATTGGCTCAGCCAGTGGTGGGAAGAGTTCATCTATTTCAGACAGCGAACCTCAATATCACGTAAATAAACTATCATTAAAGCATATTCTTTTATTTTTAAAATTTTAGATAATTCTAATTATTTTTGTTTGGGCGCTAGAAGACCTCCCACTCCTCACCAGCTGGACAGAGCAGCCTCAGCCCTCTACCAAACAGTCATGTAATTAACTTAGGTCTCCGTACTTTACACTTAGTGTTTTGTCACTAGGTTTGTGAAAAAGATCAAAAGTGGTAGAATTAAGAATATGACTGCTCAGGACCTTGTCCCATTCTGCATGGAAGCAAACATGGATTACACTAACTCATCAAGGATACCAGGAAAGACTGTAGATCGTATCATTAATTTTGATCACAATAAAATTCACCACACAGTAGTCATGAGGTATGTAATGTCCTAAAAATTTTGGTGGAGATAAATTCTGCTTTGCTCATCAAAAAATTTTAACCTCCGTGTGAATGACAGATTGTAATCTCTTGCTAGGCAAGGAAAGTTTTACATTGTTCAAGTAACTGATAAAGATGGCCGCATCTATCCTCCTACCTTGTTGAAGAAACAGCTGGAGCGTATTGTAGAAATGGCTGGCGGTAAGCAGATAAGATTTACTGTGTATAATGCATTGGGTTTATTATGTAGATGAGAAAGATGAAACTGGAGTAATGACATTCACTGCATTACCAAGAGAAGACTGGGCAGACATAAGGAAGAGACTAGAAGAGGATCCAGTCAACAAGAAATCATTAGAACTGATTGACAGTTCTTATAGCATCGTTGTTCTTGATACAGAGTCGCCTGACCTTGATGTATGCGTACATGTATATTTTATATAAACTCAAATTAGCACAATTTGCATTACTAAGATTTACATATTTTTGTTTTAGGACTTTAGAGAGAAGTCTCGTCACATGTTCCATGGTAATGTGTACAACCGTTGGTTTGATAAGTCCTTCTCTATCATTGTCTGTGCCAATGGAGTCATTGGATCTAATGTTGAACACAGCAGACTTGATGCTACTGTATGTTAGCCTAATGTTTAGTAGTGTATGCTTAATGCTTTCTCTCCTTCTTTTTCTCTTTCCCGCCAACCCTTTTCTCTCTCTCTCTTCTTCTTCTTCTTCTTCTCCTTCTTCTTCTTCTCCTCTAGGTTGCATGTCAAGGTTGGGAGTACATGCTACAGCATGAGGAGTATGATGACAATGGACGTGTTTTACAATTGTCTGAAGATGGATTCCCTAGAGATACTCAACCTGAGGAGTGAGCTTACATTACAATATGTACTTGTACATCCATTTGATGATAATATTGTCAATACTGTTTAGGTTGAAATGGAATTTGGAGTCCTTCACTGACGACTTATCAAGATCCAAAGACCACCTAAGGAGCATGGTGAGAGCATTCTTCCTGTATATTCCAGCTGTGAATTATTTAACTCTCTAAATTAGATTGCAGACTCAGATTTAGTTGTTGTTTGTCCCTCTTACGGTAAGAGTGTTCCTAAAAAGTGTCGTCTTAGTCCTGATGGCTGGTTCCAAATGGCCCTACAGTTAACCTATTACAGGATCTATCATAAACTGGTACTAACATATGAATCAGCCACTACAAGGTACCCACACACACTCCTCACTGATGTGTGCATGTTATTGTGTGTTGTGTGTGCAGACTTTATTATAAAGGAAGGACTGAGACCATTCGTCCTGTATCAATGCAGTCTAAAGCTTTTGTTGAGGTTTGTTGTATTATTACTATTATTTTTGGCGGGCCAGTGGTCATTATTGACAGCTGCTTGTGTCTTTTCTTACTAGGCAATGGATGATAGCTCTATTAGTGTGGAGAAGAAGAGAGAGTTATTGAAAGAAGCTATCAAGTACTTACAGAATACCTCCTCCATTTAATCTTTCTTTCTCTCTCTCTACTTCTCTAGGTATCAGGAGCAGTATAAGTTTGAAGCTATGAGAGGGATGGGTGTTGATAGACATTTGTTTGGACTCTACATTGTAGCTAAGTGGCTCAAGATGGACCCAATGCCTGAAATATTTGAAGACGAAGTATTATTACTATTGTTGTTGTTGTTATTATTATTGTTTTTGTTTTTAGGCTTTTCAGTTGAAGTTCACCTTGTCCACCTCTCAGACTCCTACCCAGTGCATTAAAGAGAAAGATTACGATGATGAGAAGAGGACAATTGTTGGTGGGTTTGGCACAGTCACTGATAATGGATATGGAGTCTCTTACATTATATCAGGAGAAGAGACAGGTACCAAGTGTTGCAGTTTTTAAAAATATAAATTGTACATTGTACATGTACTTATGTTGTGCAGAAAGTTTGAGCTGATTCCAATCAAATTTGGATTTTTAATGAATTTTTAAAGTTGCTTCAAATTTGTTATGTACATGGACTTTAATGTGCTCAGATATAATTCTTTCACAATTCTTTTAGTCTATTTCTCCATACATTCAAAGAATTCCTGTACTGAGACAAGCTCTGAGAGATTTGGTGAAGAATTAAAGAAATCGTTTGAGGACATGAGAGAAATCTTTTCTTAACACTGTATAATGATAGCCATTAAAGCACAGTAGTTATTTCTAGTTTGACAAACATACCTAAATTATTATTATTATTATGATAAACACACTATAGCATTTAGATGTGACTTATATTATTGTGATAATGACAACTGCTAGCAGTTCTCTACCTACACACATTCCTTCTTCTGGTATTATTACTAATCTAATTTGAAATTTGTGTCTAGTACAAGACATTGCACAGTATAAAACACTATGCCACAAATATTATTATTATTATACTTTTAGTATTATTGTTCTTATCATTTATAGTTAAAATTGTTTATTTCATTGAAACTGTGAGTCTTCTTTCTCTTCAATTATATTTTGCATTTGAGCTGTAGTTTGGCATCTGATTGATGTCTTCTTTCTCGAATGCTTTCTCCTTTGCACGTCGCAATGCATCATCTACAAAACAACAATCATCATCATTATTATTATGTACTTTAAGTATTTAAACCATTATGTACATCTGCTTTGAAGTGTATCAAGATGAATGGATCCCTTTAGCTTTTTCAATTCTCCATCAATTCCTTTGAGCTCTTTCTCAACTATGTCAATGCACTCACTGCAAAGGAAAGAATGAGTGAAATGAATACTGCAAGTTAGTTTTGTTAAAGAAAACCCAACTACTTTTCATTATGGCTCCTTGGTAACTTACAGATGTTTCTTTATTTTTTTCTCCCTTTCTTCTTTACTGTCAATCAGTTCTTGTATCTCTTCTGTTAGTTTATCAACTTTTTGCTTAAATCCTCTTTGAGCCCATTTTTTCTTCTCATTACTATTTTGATCCAACTATACATAGCAAAGCATCATTCAAAATAATCTTTATAATAATAATAATAATAACATACTTGCTCTTCAATGTCCTTTAGAATATCTTGACAATCTTTAAGTTCCATTTTATTAAGGCAAGCTTTGGCTATGAGTGAGTCCCTTAGCTGCAGCAAAGATTCAACATTCATCACATCAAGCTTATGAGTCCAATTCTTCTTTTCTTCTTTTGCATGATTCAGTATAATTTCAGTGCAATCTGACAATGTATTGTCAATTATAACAAATGTTACAATGGTATCTTACTGCTCATGTCATCAATTATATCTAATGCAGTTTTTGCTTGCTGCTTAAGAGATTCTATTTGCTCTTTCCAATCGGAAAACTTCTCCCTTGCATCTTGTAGAGAAGCTTCAGCAACATCCTGACAATCCTTCTCTTCTTTTGAAACTTCCTCGAGCATCCTCTCCTCCTCTTGTAATTCTTCTAGTTCCTTCTTGAGTTTCTCCTGCAAGCCAAATTAAAAATTTTAAACTGATGTAAGGTGTTGAATTGACTTGTGTCTTCCTGTTCTTCAGCAGTTGGCTTTCCCTGTGGCTTGACCTTTGGTTGTACTGCTGTCTTGATGATTCACAAAATAGCTCTAACTCTCTCAAATCATTGTCTATAACAAGAGAAGAAGAGTAGATCATTCATTCATAAAATCAAGAGAGAAGGAAAAAGAGAATAGCAATCACTATAGCTTTACCATACCTAGCTTTCTAATGTCAGAAGTACAATTTTCCTCAATATTCTTATCTTCTCTTGCTTCTTCAGTCAATTCCTCCATTGCTGCACTATAAATCAAACAGTCACATATATCACATGACCAATATGTCACATGATTAATACGTCACATGATCGATATCATTCACAAATTTACCTTAAGATCTGGCTCAGGTCTGACAGTCCAACAATAGAGTTCTCAGTTTCAAGTCTTTCTTGAAGGTTTCTTTGTTCATCACGAGATTCTTCCTCTGCCTCATCTACATGTACATGTAAATAAACTCAACATACATGTACATACGTACTTAGCAGCTGGTAGCAATCCTGTAATGCTGCAATAGCTTCATCCATTTTTGTTGTTATACGGAAATCAAACAATTCTCTTAGTTTTTGATCAAAACTCGACAGTCTCTCACGTCCAGAGTGTTTAAGTTCAAATAGATCAGCAGCTGCTTTTCGTCCATAGGTAAAAGCTGGTTTCGTAGTGTCAAGGTTTTGGGCAGCAACTGAAGAGCTAACATGACCATCCTTTGCTTTAGCAACGACACCTTCGACAATACCAAGGACTTTACGTGGTATATCTGAAGAAAAGAAGATACACTTTGTTCTCTCCTTGTCTCTTCAATATTTTGTATTCTCTCTCTTTCTCTCTTTACTGACCGTCCCCCACTGTATCAGCTTTCCTCATATCCTCTTTGATATCTTTAATCCTGTCATCAATCTCACCATCTATTGTGGTCACAACAAACAATGACAAACTGAAAATGACACTAAAAAAACAAAAAATGCTTTGCATGCATTCACAACCCAACCCATCCTCCAGAGATTACAGACAGCACTTAAGTGTACCAATTACATTCCCTACTGTATAAAATAACCTCCACATAAAGGACACCTCTGTATAACAGAGACACTCCATTATATAGAGGCACCATTGTATCATTAGCACAATAAAGCATTGATTAGTATACTAATGATAGCAGGGTGTAGTCCAGTGGCATACCTAAGTGTTCCTGAGGCCCGACTACTGCTAGTGTTTCTTCAATGGTGTCCTTGTCTTTGAAGTACAGTTTAGACTTTGCTTTGTCAAAGGCCTCGGTTACTTCCTCTATATCAGAACGAGAGGAGTATCTATCCTCTTCCCTCTCTCTCTCTAGGGACACAGTAGAAGGATAATAGCTGAACTCCTGAGTGTCAGACATCTTTGCTGACTCGATTGCAGCAGTTTATGCTGCAGGAAAATGGGTGGGGCTGGGAGTGTCAGCCACACCCATTAACTCCCGCCCAAGTCTTAGCCTAGGTGAAATGGCTTTCTTCAAAGGAGCAGCTTCAGAAGGTAACAGAGCTGCCAATCTTCTCAAAAAGAGAGAGAAAGATAGAGAGGAGTTGGAAAAAATGAAGCAAAAAATATCAGAGGTAGTTTAGCATTAATACAATGTTGTGTACTTTAAAATATTTTGTAATAATAAATGTAATTATTTTAATTTTTGTAGGACATTGGAGCCAAAAGTATATTTGAATCAAATGAAAAGTTTTCAACACATTTTGACATTGTTGAAGAAGAGCTGAGGACATCGACAATTGGTAGAGAATTTCAATAGAATTTTTTAATTGAAATAATTTGTGACACTTGTTATAGGTTTAATGACACTTGAAGAAATGAAGATGAAAAGAGAATTACTCATTCAAGAGAGGAAGAAGAAATTGGCAGCAGCTGTTTCAGAAGAAAACAAGCAGTAAGGGATTGAGGGATTGATTAATTTCTCCATTTTAAATTAGATATGTATACACTGTACAGTAAGGAGTGGTATTTTTCAAAATTTGGCCAGTTTTTTAAAATGGTCATAACTCAAAAATTTCTTGTCGAAATTGACTCAAACTTTCTACACAGCATAAGGACGTCAATATGTATCAGAAAATGTAATAAAAATTTGGAGTGATTTCGGAGCCATTTTTTGAAAAAAAACCATGGGCTATAATAGCCTTGGGTATTTTTCAAAATTTGACCCATTTTAAAAAATGGTCATAACTTTAAAATTTCTTATTGGAATTGACTCAAACTTTCTACAAGGACATCAATATGTATTAGAAAATATAATAAAAATTTGGGGTGATTTCGGAGCCATTTTTTGAAAAAACCATGGGCTACATATTACATACATGTACAGCTGGAATATTGGTGGGATGTTTGGCATTCTTCAAAGACTGGGCCCATTTTTCACCATTTTGTTTTGTATTATTCAAGTCAATATTTCCAGCTGTATAATTGTTTTTTATCCCGCCATATAATAACTATGATTAATTATTGTTGAAAAGGGACTCTCTTGATGGAAAGAAAGGAGAAAAGAGAAAATTGAAAGCAAAGCCAGTTTTGTCATTTGATGTTGAAGAAGATGAAGATGAAGAGAGAGAGGAGGAGGAGGAGGAGGAGCAAGTGGAAAAGGAAGAAGGTGTGTCATGATGCATTCAGTACTGCATATATTGATTCATTTTAATAAAATTTAGCTCCTCCTACTTTTAAACGAAAGAAGTACAGTCACTTTGGAAAGAATCCTACAGTTGATACTTCTTTTCTACCTGATCGAGACAGAGAGGTGAGAGAGAGGGAGGGAAGTGAGAGAGGGAGAGAGAGACAGAGAGAGACAGAGAGGTAAGAGAGAGGGAGAGGTTATGAAGGTGTCTCTTTTTCTTGAGTGAGTGTAGGAGGAGGAGAAATACGAGAGAGAATGTCTTAGACAAGAATGGGTGGAGCAACAGAACGAACTTAAAAGTAAAGAAACATAATATTTTTTATTTAATTTTAATTTTTACTACCTCCAGACGAGGTTATTCAAATAACATACAGTTTTTGGGATGGTTCAGGTCACCGTAGACACGTACAAGTGAGAGTTTTAAAAGGTTTTTAGGGAGAACCTTGCCTGTTCTATTCTAGATGAAGAAAGGAAACACAATTCATGAGTTCTTGCAGAAATGTCTCGAAAACCTTCGAAAAGAATTCAAAGAATTAAGAGGAGCATCAGTGGATGGGTTGATGTACATTAAAGAAGATCTGATCATACCTCATGTTAGTATGACATCGTGGAGTGTTCTAAATATAGTAACACTGATTCTATTAATAGCATTACTCGTTTTACGACTTCATAATAAACAAAGCAAGAGGAAAGAGTGGTAAAATTTACTACCGTATAGTAGGAAATTTTGGAGGGAATTAAATTAGGTGAATTGGCATTTCGATAGCCATTCGCCAAAATAGAAATCCGCCATTTTCAGCCATTATGTGTATGCTCGCTCAATGGCACATGGCCACAATTTGCGAAATTAAAATCCACCAATCATCAAAATTTAACAATTCGCCAAATTTTATTCCCTTTTAAATTTCCCGCTATAATTTTGAATGAGTCTGTATGTACATGTACATGTACATGTATAGGCTCATTGTTCAGCTTTGATGTACATGAAGATATAAGACTTGTTAATGACGCTGGCATTGAAAAAGATGAAGTAACAATACAGTGATAGTCCAGTACAATTATTATCTGTTTCCCTTTCTCCTTCCTTGTCCCTCTCTCTCTCTGTGCAGTCTCATGCTGGTAAGGTTGTGTTGAGGAGTTGGTATGAAAGGAACAAGCACATATTCCCTGCCAGCAGGTGGGAGCCATACGACCCTGAGAAGAAATGGGATAAGTACACAGTAAGACTCCTCATACCACTCTCTCTCTCTCTCAAGCTTCATTGAACTACATGTACAATAAGAGATACTGCAATGTCATAGATACTGCAATGGTATAATGCATGTGTTAATAATGGCTGGCTGTCTTTCTCTGATAGATTTCTGATAAAAGTGCAGGACAATAGATTCACCTCTGCTGCTTCTTCTTGCAAACGAAGGAGGATTGTACTGTACATCTTTTAATGTTATTATTATTAAATTTTAATTTATTTTGTCTGCAATAATTATTATGCAAGTGTAATAGATTAGTCATGACATATTTATGAAAAAGTTCCCCAGAAAGTGGTTGGACTAGTAAAGTTGAAAGGAATGGCACTAGTTTCATCATCAGCATCACTGGAACTCAATTCATTGATGAACAGCTATTTTGAAAAGGAGAGAGAAAACACTAATAAAACTTGTGCATGTACAGTATCGCCTCTCTTAATGGACACTCTCTATAGTGTACACCTCCATTTAAAGGACAGCAGCCACTACTAGGCTACTATCCTAACCTGTTTGGATGTTAGCTGAAGGTGTGGGTGAAGTGGTTCCTCTTTGTCTTGTTTCTCTGGATCAAGGAGTCGATTCATTAATGATGATACAGCAGGATGATAGTGACACTGTAGAGTCTATAGGAAAGAACCCAGTCCGTCATGACGAGGACATCTTGTGATTGATTACTTTTAATTCCCAGAGGCAACTCTCCAGAGCACGGGAGAGAGAAGGATCTGCTTCGTCCATTAGGAAAGGATCAGAATCAATCTCAAATACTATCAAGAAAATAGTTTTAAATATATCATTAATTCATTATAAAAACGTGAAGTTAACCTTCTGTTGTGCTTCTGTGCAGTAGGACACGACAGTTTGGATGTCTTCTTATCAAATTAATGACCAAAACACTTGCCAACATAATACCTACATGTAATTATAAATAATAATAATAATAATACCTACATCATAAAAATACAGAGAGTGAGCTAGTATACATGTACATGTACATGAAGATTAAGTTGCTGAATGTCCAGTACCTTCTGGAGGAGCAGAGAGAGAGAGTCTGGCAATCTTCTTAGCAAAGGAAGCAACAAGATACAAAGGGAGATGACTATAAACAGAATATAATCAATAACAAGATACAATTGTCAGCCATTGAAGGGTAAGGATAACTTGCCTTGAGGTAAGGAAGACATTGAGGAGCCTAAAGAACCTTGGAGTATACGGGACAGTGAATATATCCGGTCGTAAGAGACTGTATAACTTCTGATAGAAATGAGGGTACTCACTATAATAATAATAATAATAATAATAATAATAATAATAATAATAATAATAATAATAATAACAATAAAGTAATTAATTAATTAATGATCGACTCACATGTGGTAATGATGCATCAATATAAAGAGACCATTCAATGCTAGGATGCTGTAAACTCCACCTACCAATTAATGTAATTAATAATTAATTAGTTAATAATCTTGATTGCCTTGATCGTAACATCCAACGAGGTAATCAACGAGTAGGTGTGGCTTATTCATGTGGGGCATGACTTGAGAATGAAGAGAAAGTAACACACTCTTGTGGATGCTGGGAGGTAACTATGGCAACAGAGGATGGGCGTGGTTTAAAGGGAAGGACTTACTGGCAATTGAAGAAATAGCAGCCATGCTTTAGAAAATACTTTGGAGTGTTTCTACAAGGAGAGAGAGGGAGAGAGGGGAAGAGAGATAACCACTAATATTAATATTGTCATTACTTCATGTGTCTTCACGTCAATGGCTTGTTGGTTTTTAAAATCTTTTGGATCCGTCACAAAATACTGCATTCCATCGTCTTCCTCCTTTGGGTCTTTATTCTTCTTGTCTTTATCTTTCTTTATCATGATTTGTTTCAACAGCTGGTATACATTGCCACCAAACTCCATAGAAACGGAGCCACGACTTCTCTGATAAATAAAATTATGTACAACATAAATAAAATAAATAAATAAAATTAATAACTAATTCTTTTTCTCACATATGCTGTGTCCAATTTTGTGCCAATGATAGAACTAGAGAAAATATAAAATTCAAAATTACTGATATTTAAAGAATATTCTACCTAATGTTCTTCAGTGTGAAATACTTAACGTCAGTATATTGAATATAATTATTGATAAAGTAGAAAGTTAGTTCCTGGTTTCCAGCTGTGAGGATTGAGGAGATTATACGAAGGAACAAGTCATTGGGGAAGTTGTATTCTTTCAAGGTGGGTGTGGTCTTGACACTCCCAAAACACTGGAGCAAACCCATCAGTTCATTAAGGACAGTAACCTGATGAATATACAGGGTAGTTCAAATATCTTTAAAATGGCCTTGGGTATTTTTCAGAATTTTGGCATTTTCTTAAAATGGCCGTAACTCAAAAAATTGAAGTCGGAATTGACTCAAACTTTCTACACAGCATAAGGACATCAATATGTATCAGAAAATGTAATAAAAATTGGGGGTGATTTCGGAGCCATTTTTTGGAAAAAACCATGGACTATAGCCTTGGGTATTTTTCAAAATTTTGGCATTTTCTTAAAATGGCCGTAACTTGAAAAATTAAAGTCGGAATCAGCTCAAACTTTCTACACAGCATAAGTGCATCAATATGTATCAGAAAATGTAATAAAAATTGGATGTCATTTCAGAGCCATTTTTTGGAAAAAACCATGGGCTATAGCCTTGGGTATTTTTCAAAATTTTGGTATTTTCTTAAAATGGCTGTAACTCGTAAAATTATAGTCAGAATCAGCTCAAACTTTCTATACAGCATAAGGACATCAATATGTATCAAAAAATGTAATAAAAATTGGGGGTGATTTTAGAGCCATTTTTTGAAAAAAACCATGGGCTATAGCCTTGGGTACTTTTCCAAAAATGGCTCATTTTTTGAAATGGTCATAACTCGAAAATTTTTTATCGGAAACGACTTAAACTTTCCACACAGCTTAAGTACATCAATATGCATCAGAAAATGTAATAAAAATTGGATGTCATTTCAGAGCCATTTTTTGGAAAAAAACTATGGGCTATAATAGCACATGGTATTTTGCAAAAATTGACTATAAATTTCCAGAATTGTCAACTATAACCTTCTAAACTATACATGCTTGTTCAAAAGCAGATATCCTTTCTAAATACATTTATATAACTGAGCTAATACCAGCACACACACAATTAAGTTATCCGATTCCATTCCAGTGCTTACTTGATAAGGAGAGATGCTAATATAATCCAAAAAGGTCGTAAGTGACAGCTGGTATTTTGATCTCAACCACAAAGGGTATAAATTTGATGCCATACTCATGTCACTGCTCAAAAGAAGAGAGTTATTAGCAGTAGAGCTGGTATGGGTATTAGTGTTAGTAAACCATTCTGAATGATTCACTATGTAGTGTTTAAATATATCAACTAATCCATGAATTGCAGCTGTAACTAATGACTGAGGATCATCCTCCTGAGAGAGAGGGGGAAAGAGGGGGGGAGAGAGAGGGAGAGGTGTGTGATCAAAAGGTCATATTAAAACTATAAAATGGATTTAAAGTGATCAACTAAAAATGCACACCCAAAAGTTACAGCCCTACCTGGACAATCAACCACTTTACAAACTCAAACAACAACATAATTAGCATCGTTATTATTATTATTATTATTATTATTATTATTATTATTATTATTATTATTATTATTTATTATTATTATCATCATCATTAAATTTTAATTATTATTATTTATTATTTATTATTAACAAATAGACATGCAGCATTGTATTAATAAATACTTATTAAATATTATCTACCTTTATTAATTCAAATAAATCAATTATTCCATTTGAATTGACTTCACTTTCCTTCACTTTCCTAACAATCTCATTCACAGATTCCATTGTACTAATTAAATATTCATATACCTAATTAAACCACACCCATTCAATTACACAAGCTAGCTTGGTATACAGAAGCGTCTCTTTTTAAAGAAGAGGATGTCTTTTCCTTTGAAAGCCATTGCCCTGTACAGCTTTCAATCATCAGCTCCGGTCGAGCTACAGCTACAGGTAAGAACGCGGAGGGATATGCGGCTGTTTCTGGCAGCCATTCTCAGTTATTATTACCTTTTATTGGCCCAATAACACAACATCACCATCCTTGTCTCCCTCTTGTACTAACCCTGTCTTTCTTTTGATCTCTCTACCGGTACAGCCTTACAAAGAATGCACTGTATTCCATTGTAGCTCCTTGTATTGCTTCATGCATGCTCCCTTCTCTCTCCTCTCTCTCCCTCTCTCTCCTCTCTCTCCCTCTCTCTCCTCTCTCTCCCTCTCTCTCTTACCCCTAGAAAGGTGACATTGTCACGGTTCGTAATCTCAATGTCGGTGATGGCTGGTCGGAAGGTGAGCTGGACGGCAAGAGAGGATTGTTTCCAAAAGCTTACGTCAAATTAGTAAGTTTTTAGTGTTTTTTTTTCTGATAATCATCATAAAAATTAATTGATGCATGTACATGTACTTATTTTTGAGCCCTAACCGTCTTATTTTTGTGGTCGACCAGAATAAAATTAGACGTGAATAAATTGTTGTCAAGGGTTGCTAAAGAGACATGTGTTAACATACATGTACATGTACATGTATTTTATATGATATTAAATGAATGAACTTCACTACATGAACAGGAGAAGAACATAAGCACAGTTGCACAACTGTTTATATTTACTAGTTGTACACATTCACATCACATCAAAAACCATCCCTTCACTATTATGTACACTCTGGCATTGATATGATACTATGTAATGTTTCATGTATTGTAGAAAATAAAAGCTACAATTCTATCATTATATACAGTTAATGAAAAGACTTATTGTACATATACATGTGTGGTCATTGCCCTGAGCTGTTGTTGTCATTGTTGTTGTTTTTGTTGTTGTTGTTGTTGTAACACTTACCAGTACATGTATATCTAATGGAATTTGTATGTGTGTCCTTTTAATTAACATGACACTTGTGTTACCAGCTGGAGGAAGAACACACCGATGATCAACCTGGTTCTCCTATTCACAAAGCTCCTTCTCCTTCCATCCCAAGTCATGTCGCTTCTTCTATTCAGACTCCTTCTTCCCCTCTACTGACACCTCTCACTCCGAAATCTAGTAAGAAGATCTTTATGGAGACGCTCTTGATGCCAACTCCAAATACAATTGATTCTATCTTTGACGAGGAGAAAGCTCTCGAGCTTTTTGCGTCTGACCACAAAGATATCAAAATATCAGTGAGTGTGTTTGTGAAAGAGGATTAGAATAATAAGATGGTGTTTGTGTTTAGTTTAAGATTTATTATTTTTGACTACTTCTTTCCCGCCTGCAGGCAGGGCCAAGATGGAATACTAAGCCGCCATCTTTAACTATAACTGTTTCTGATGATGTAGTCCAGGGAAGGTCTAGTGGTGTACGTACGCCAAAATTGTATCATGTTCGGACAAAAGTGATTCAAATTATTTCTTGCAAGTTATTGTGGGTTTTATTCGGTTTTAGGAATTAAAAGTGACTGTACAAAGAAAGTATAAGCACTTTTTATGGCTATACGACCAGCTGGCTGAAAAAATACCCTGTGTATCTTTACCACCATTGCCAATAAAACATGGAATGCCACCAGGTTAGATTATTAAAATAAAAAGAATGAATTGCAATAAAAAAGTCGAAAAAAAGAAAAGAAAAAAGCAAAAAAAAAACACCTCCGACGGGACTCGAACCCGCAACCCCCGGCTTAGGAGGCCGATGCCATATCCATTAGGCTACGGAGGCTAACCAATGCTTTGTAGATATTGATGATGATTTCAAGGAGAGCAGGCGGCGGGGCTTAGAAAGATTCCTGAACAGGGTAGCCAAGCATCCTATTCTTGGTTCTACAAAGATCCTTCAAGTGTTTTTAATGGCGACAGATGAAAAGGTAGGACATAGAATCATTGTTGTGTCTTCTAGATGATATTCCTTTAGGAGTGGAGGATTGGAGGTACTGGTAAACACACTAGTTTCATCAAAACGTCAGGTGGAAAAAACAAAAAGAACTTCTTCTCCGCTCCAATTTATCACTCAGTCCATTATCCTCCGTACAATGTTCCCATCAGCCAGTGAGACTAGCATCACTAAATTGATGATGATTATTGCCCCTTTTCAGGCTCCAGGCATTTGACAAGTTTTCAAAATTTAGTGAAAATCTCGAGGGAAATGTGAGCGCTTTGACGCGTAGCTGTGAGCTGCTACGGACTTCTCACGGACGTAAGTCTTGTTATAATACTCTAGAAACTTAGATACATGTACATGTAGTTTTTGGATATCGGTGCCATTTTAAAATTTGGTAATATATGTGGATGATACATAGCAGATTTTTTTGTTCATAAACTTTCTTTTTGTTTTTAGAAATGTGCAGACATTTGCGGAGTTTAGGCAAGGACTTGCAGCTGATGTCAAAAGGCTGTGAAAACACAGCTACCACTAGCATATCTGGTATTAGAGAGATGTCGGTATTGTAGACTTATGAATCTTTTTTGTCTTTTTTAGGACGACACATTCGTAAGGCATCTCAAGGTATATCACTACCCAGTAACCAGTTACCAGTGGGAGCCACGATATCGCTAACAGCTGCAGCTTCTTTTGATATTGTATCTGAGGATGAGGAAGACACTGATGATGTCACTGATTCTGTCGGTGACTGGAATTGGAGGGAAGATGAAAAGTAAGGTCCAAAATACAATGTACACTAGGCAACGATCTTGTAGGCAACTTGTTCCAAAAATAGAACAGAATTCTATTTTTGGAACACTTTGCTTGCGTTGCATTTGCCTTATGGTTAATAATTTGCTTTCTTTTGTTGTGCATTTCAGGTTTTCCAAGTTGATGATGGAGTTGCATGACATTGGCTCTAAAATGAGGAGATTGGCTAGCCTACACTTGAAGCACCAGGAAAGACTTGACGTTGAAGTGATTGAAGATTTAGAAGAGTATTCCTCCATCATCCATACACTCCCAGTACTTATTAAGATGCATGAGGAAGCAATGGCATCTTTTAATGAATGCAAACAGAAGGCATCGGTAAGCTGTGTCTCCTCTTTGTTTCCTCCCTCCTCCTCCCTCTCTGTCTCCCCTTCTTTCTTACTCAACTGTTGTTTTCTGTAGAAGAAGGATGCTGAATCCATGAGACAAGATTGTGAGACGCTAAACAACATATTGCTCTCTGAGCTGGACTACTTTAGCACTGTAATGGTCGAAGACTTTCAATCAGTGTTATTGAAGCTGCTGAAAGAACAAGCGGAATACCATAAAAACGTAAATGTGATTTCATTGCACTCTTTAAATTTTATTATTATTAATTATTTTTTTAGCTTGCATCTGAGTGGGAGAGCCTTCATGATAGTTTTTATGAAAAGCGCCCAGTGAGAAAAGCCACAGTAAAGAGAAGTGTCACAATGCCTGGAACCAAACCAGAAAATCATAATCTTTCCAGCATTGAGCAAGATCAGTCATTAAGACCATCCAGTATTGACAGGAAGAACCTTAGTAATGGAGTACGACCTGAAGACTCTGTTCATAATGAGAGTAGCAGAGATACCAATCCTACTTATGAAAACTGGCCAGTCAGTGGAGTTGCTGCTGCTGCTAATAAGCCAACACACAAGCCATTGCCTCCTCCTCCTCCTATAGCTCAAAGACATAAGATCAGTTCTAGTCCTGAGGACTCCATTACTTATGGACATCAGACAGACTCTTTCATCCTCCCAAACTTGCATCAGTCACAGTTCATACCACCAGGACCAGCTGTAGGTAAAGTATCACCAGCCCATCCTCCTATACACAAGCCAATGCTGCCACCAGATAAACCAGCAGCAGGTAAAAAGGAAAAGACATCATCTACTGATACTAGCAGTAGCGAGGAAAATAAGGAATATAATAGTCGTCAAGTAGACTTTCCTGTTGCAGAACCTAGTGATCAGAAATCAATCGAATCCTCGACTGAAGATGCCAAATCACCTGCTACAGCATCAAGCACCTACTCACCTAGAATGCACACGAAACTAGCAAAGATGACTAAAATACCTCTGACAAAGCAGCAACAGTCATCACCTGAAAGAAAACCAGGACCAAGTAGATCATTCTCTCAAAGAACAACTTCTCCTACTTACCACCACCACCAATCTTCGACAAAGACGCTACCACCCAAACAACAAAGTGTCCAAGGGGATGAAAGTGGAACCGAGTTATTAAGAAAACTCCAAGAGAGACGTCAAAAGCTGGAGAGACAGCTAAGCAGCAGCGACGTGAATGATGATAATAGAGATTCGTCTACTTCTTCAAGTGGGGAAGGTGTGCTAAGATGGACTGGCAGCAAAGAAATGGAATCAACCAATTTGTCTAAATTTGGTATTGTTGAAGAAGGAGGGACGTTTGTAGTATAGTCTAGTTAGCTATTATACTTATTATATTTTTTGAAATCATCTCTTTATTAAATATTATCATGCTGTTTTCAATGTTTTGTGTGTTGAGCTAATACAATTCTTGTGTATGTGTTTGTTTTTAAATATTCATATTTAATTTAATTATTCATGATAACGTCTTGCTCCAGTTTATTGGGCTATGCTGCAGTAGTTGTCTCTCTTTTCTTTGCTCTGCTAATCTATCTTCAGTCTCCTGCTTTGATTTCAACTCAAAAAGCTGCACAAATTCAAAGTAAAGGCACATACTGTTTACTGATGTATGCAGCTAGTAGGTATACTATTCCAATTGTACAAAATCTATTATAGATCACTCACCATTTTATTTGAGTCCCTTATGGTCATGAAGTATTGTTTCTGTTTCGTAGTTCTCTCTTTCTCTCTTTGGCTGAATGCAATGGAGTCTTTGGTCATCCTCTCACTCTCCTCCGTGTTGCTGGAGAAGTGCTCTTTGTTTCGCTCTCTTTCACTTATTTGGTCTATGAGGCAGCTTCTTAATTTGAACCTATCAGAGAATGAGGTGAAAATGCACAACTATTTCACACTGACTGCAGTATATGTGTCTGCATGCCTGCAGTACTGTGCATGGACTAATGCAGTGCAATGTATTCAACATTATAAAAGCATGTTTATATGTACTGGTATTGAGCTCTCTCTGAGGGAGTCCCATAATAGTAAGGTCTGTATTCCTGGTGCTTGTAAGTGTAAGCAGCTTTCTTCCTTAGGCTGAATGCTTCCAGTGTAGCAAATGTCTTATCAACAGTTTCTGTGTATATGGTTCGTCTAGTGTTGTCCCATGGCATAGGAAACCATTCTTTTTGACGTATTCTTTCCCGGGAAGAAGCATAAGGAGGTCCCTTTACAGCTGCACTGAAGCTCTTCCTTGACATTGCACTCTAAGGTATCTGTGATCCTAAGTTTACCCACGGAATAGCAGACTACAATTCTGCGCATGCGCAGCTAAGTGTGAAAAGTCCAGCCTAGCTACGCCTTCTAAACATGTGAGTACACGTGGCTACCTTTGAGTCTGATCTTATATCTTGTCAACCGTATTGCGTCATTGGGTCTTCATACTAGCAGCCTAATACTCAAGAAGCAAGATAAAGACACAGTCATTATCTACTGATGTACAAGCTAGGCCAAAGTTACCAGCATTGATTTTGACAGTTCTTTATTTTGTGTTAAAATTTTCATGAACAATTGATTTTATTAAAAAAGAGCTGAAGCTACATGTGTATAATAATAACAATAATAATTATTAGTAATGTAAGCAACAAGACAGCAAAAAGAAACAGTTTAGAGATATCATATGAAACTATGAACACTGATAACTAACACACACACACACACACGATAATAATAATAACTGTATTAATAATAAAGGATTATAATATTAATAACTACTGGTATAATTAACTAGTCCCTTCCTCTGGCTTCTTACTTCGTCTTGTGACAGCAGCCGATAGTTCCGCCTGTAACTGGACAGAGCCCGAGGGCTTGGCTGGTGCCGGAGGTTTAGAAGGCAAGGGAGGTTTGTCTCTTTTCCCCGAACTCCTAAAAACTCCGCCCTTCTTGACAGGAGCAGGGTGAGGAGGGGTCGCCTGAGGCTTTGATACCTGACCCTGTAAATGAGCTTTCTGTAGCGGAGACGACGTGTGAGAGTCATGTGACATCAAAGGAAACGGAGACACTGTTGCTGGGGGAGGGTCTGGTTTAGTAGGCCTGGGTGCTACTAGCGGAGGTTTCACCGGAGGCTTGGAACCTGAGGAATTAGAACGAGGAACCGGAGTCCCGCCTTCACTGGGTGCACTAGTAGTACCTTTGTTCATATCAGCTGAAGGATTACGAACATGAGTCTTATGAGGACCAACTAATACTCTCTGAGAGGGAGGGGGCGGGGCAGGCTGCTGAGGCTGCTGAAACTGCTGAGTCAGCTTACTAACAGCACCTGTCTTTACTGGGACAGTTGGTTTCTTCCTCTTTGGTGATTCCGGTGGAGCATGCTTTGGGGAACCTCCTCCTGTGGAAGCAGCTGCTTCAGGTTTACTTGTATCAGCTAGAACCGGCTTAACTTCAGTTTTAGGATGATCACTTTGAGTTGTGTCTCCTTCTTGAGGAGTAGTAGCCTCGGGTGAAGTCTCTTGCACTGCCGGTAATGAGGGAGAGGTTGGGCCAGAGTCACTCTCCTCTTTTCCCCCAGCTGCTGTGTTCATACTGCTCTTCCTTTGAGGTGGAACAGGTATCGGAGGTAGTTCAGATATCTCAACATATTTAACAGGTATGTATCCTCTCTTGCCACCATGGAAACCGTCCCACCAGTTCCCGTCTTGAGTTTTGTCAATGACGTCCAGCATGTCGCCTTTTGAGAAAGACAGCTCCTTCTCTGTCCGAGCCTTATAGTCGTAAAGTGCTTTAGCAGAGATTGTCATGACTTCTGTAAAAGGAACAAATATATTCATGTATCAGAAAATGTAATAAAATATTTGGAGTGATTTTTAGATCATTCTTGGAAAAAAAACACGGGCTATAGCCTTGGGTATTTTTCCAAAAATGGCTCATTTTTTAAAATGGCCATAACTCGAAAATTTCTTATTGGAATCGACTCAAACTTTCTACACAGCATAAGGACATCAATATGTATCAGAAAATGTAATAAAAATTTGGGGTCATTTCGGAGCCATTTTTCAGAAAAAACCATGGGCTATAGCCTTGGGTATTTTTCCAAAAATGGCTCATTTTTTTAAAATGGCCATAACTCGAAAATTTCTTATCAGAATCGGCTCAAACTTTCTACACAGCATAAGGACATCAATATGTATCAGAAAATGTAATAAAAATTTGGGGTCATTTCGGAGCCATTTTTCAGAAAAAACCATGGGCTATAGCCTTGGGTATTTTTCCAAAAATGGCTCATTTTTTTTAAATGGCCATAACTCGAAAATTTCTTATCGGAATCGGCTCAAACTTTCTACACAGCATAAGGACATCAATATGTATCAGAAAATGTAATAAAATATTTCGAGTGATTTTTATATCATTTTTGGAAAAAAACACGGGCTATAGCCTTGGGTATTTTTCCAAAAATGGCTCATTTTTTAAAATGGCCATAACTCGAAAATTTCTTATCGGAATCAGCTCAAACTTTCTACACAGCATAAGGACATCAATATGTATCAGAAAATGTAATAAAATATTTCGAGTGATTTTTAGATCATTTTTGGAAAAAAACACGGGCTATAGCCTTGGGTATTTTTCCAAAAATGGCTCATTTTTTAAATGGTCATAACTCGAAAATTGTACCATTATTATGCAGTACATAACTTGCTCTCACTGTATGTGAAAATATGACAAATATTGCTCGCAATGAAAGCTGATATTTACATGCAACGATCATGAGATACCAGAGATTAGGTACCATATAAATACCACACTCCAGTATAACTACATGAAAGCATACGGAAGTTAGGATCAAACTACATCAAACTAGCACATGCCATACATGTGTATGTCCATATATGGCATAACCTCATTAAGAGTTTGGCTTCAGCCGCTGCCTGTCGGTCATAACTTTTAATGAGCAGAATATCAAGGTCAGTTTAATGGCCTACCTTCTGTGTCTGATTCATCTGAATCATCTTCTTCATCATCTTCAACAATAACAACAGGAGTGCCTCCTCGGCTTGAAGGACGCTCTTTCATTTGTTCAATGCTGGTCTCAATATCCTGGAGGGCCTGATCCAACATTGAAATATCTCCACTGACACTCACTGTTGATACTTGTGTGGACAGACCCACACTCTCACGAGCCGTCTCTTTTAATTCATCCTTTGATCCACCTGGAGCCACTGCTGACTCAACCTTATGAGACTCTTCACTTGTAGCCACCTCGGATACTACTGGTGTAGATCCTGGTACAACGGGCGGAGCTACTGGTACAGTACCTGGTACGACTGGTGGGGCTACTGGTACGGTACCTGGTACGACTGGTGGGGCTACTGGTATGGTACCTGGTACGACTGGTGGGGCTACTGGTACAGTACCTGGTATGACGGGTGGGGCTACTGGTACAGTACCTGGTATGACGGGCGGAGCTACTGGTACGGTACCTGGTACAACGGGTGGGGCTACTGGTGCAGTCTCTGAGGCTACTGGTGTAGACCCTGGTACAACGGGTGGGGCTACTGGTATAGTCCCTGGTATGATGGGCGGAGCTACTGATACAGTACCTGGTACAACGGGAGGTGAGACTGGTTCGACGGGTAACTCTGTGACGCTGGTAGTGACCGGTTCAGTTGGCGATGGTATAATGGACGCTGAAGCAGTGGCAGGTGGTGGCAGGTCAGGATCAACCAAAGAAGGTTCTTCAGTATCGAGTTCCTGAGGATCCTCTGACGGCTCAATGACAGGGAGCTCACACACCTCCTCCTCATCATCTTCTTCAAATGGAGGAGCTGGTTCCTCGTCAGGAGGGGGAGGAGGGGAGGCTGCCCCCTCGTTGTAATGATAAGAAACATCATTAGGGGACGTTCCAAGGAAGGACGTCTCCAGAATCGGCAGAGGGGGAGGAGGGGGAGAGGACAAACCCTCGTCTTCTGACTCCTCCCCAAATATATACTCGTACTGCTCAATACAGAGCTGTATCAGTACGTTGATGGCTGGGACGTCATTGTGAAGAACTCTTGGGTCTGCATCTTCAGGAGCCCGAGTGAGGGTGGGGCCAAATACCAGGGCAAGGTTTGCCGTGTTCATCTTTGTCTTACTGCTGTGCTGCGACACTCTAAGGAAGTGAAGAATGGACATTAAATATAAGAGGATTGGGAGTTATTTTAGAACCATTTTTGAAAAAAAAAAACCAAAGGCTATACAGATTTTGGTTTTTTCAAAATTGGTTCATCTTTAAAAATTCGTAACAAATCCAAGTTTGATTAAAAATCAGCTCAAGCTTTCTACACAACATAAGAACATGTATATGTACAAAACCAGCTCTTTCTCATACAGCAAGTGCATTCAATTGAAAGTTTATTTTGAATGACAATAAAACTGAAAAGTCATAAAGTCAATCATAAGTCTTTGTTAGTCACAGAAAGTACAACATTAAATGGAATGTACTACAAATTCCCTTCATTAGTGCAGCAGTTGAATTACTTTTTATTACTCAATGTACAGTAATGAGTGAATCAATCCCTCTCCCCTTCCCTCTCTCTCTCCCTCCCTCTCTCCCTCCCTCCCTCTCTCTCTCTCAGTGGGTCTATAGTAAATTGTTCTTAAGAGACATGTGTTCACTAAACACTTAATGTAAACACTGAATTAACTTACATTCACATCAACACAATACAAATAAATAATAATATATTCATGGTATAAATCTTATACTAACTTGTATAGGAATCTGAACAAATATCTCATGACTCCTCCAATGGCTGGATGAAGCTTATTGACAGCATCTCTGATACTATCCAGCCTCTCCTGTGGGTCATCCTTCCCTGTAGACACAGTGATATTTAATAAGTAAAGGTTAGAGAAGACACATTCATGTACACATGAAATAAGGATTATACACTTAAGACATAATGAAGGT